GGGGGGGCAGCAGGTGGAAGATGGTTTGAGAGCTGAGGCAACTCAACAGCTGCTGATCTCGCTTGGTGCAGCACCAGGGAGGGACGGGAGCATTCCCCCTGGGGCTCCCCAGCCTGAGTAGCATGCTCCTGGGAGCAGGGGGATGGGGGGGCAGGAGGGGGGCTGCTGAGCAATCACCCCCACCCGCTGCAAGGGCCCTGGGGGGCGCAAAACAAGGAGTCCCTTCAGCGTGGCCGCGGACACAGTGCAGTGCGCGTGCACGGTGTTGTGCTGGGAGCGTGCGGAGGGAAACCCGAGCTGGTTCGCGGGAGACCCGTGTGCTCGGCTCCTGTGGCTCAGCAGCAGCCCAAACTAGCAGCTGTCCTGCTTCTTGCTGTCATGGTGAGGAGTGCTTCCTCACCTTGCCCCACTGCTGCAGCAGCCAGCCTGGGCAGTGGTGTCGTCGCTTGAAGCTTGTCCCCTTCCACGAGATGTGGCCTTTGTTGCTGATCTGCTCCCTGGGACTCCACTCCTTTCCCTAGAGCCCAGCCTTAGTTCAGCAGTTTCCCGACAACCCAGCTCGCGTTGAGGACACCGTGCAAAGCCACAAGAGCCCAGCAGCAGATCCAAGGAGGGAAGCAAGGAGGACACAGGCATCCCCAGGTCGTGGTGGGTGAGCTATTTATGGGCTTTGGGAACAGGGGGGCCCTCTGAGTCTTGACCTCCTGCAGAACCCATGGCCTTAGCTCACCTCCTCCTGGCATTGTGGGGAAAGGATCGGGTGAGTCCTAGAAACAGGTATGTAACGACCCAGGAGCTTCACCAGGGGGTTGATAGTGCTGTGGGAGACGGACAAGACCATGTTAATCCTCTCTCCCTCTGTTTCTTAAAGATTCTGCTAATACACCTCTCAAATCTCTCTGCACCGTCAGGAGGCTGTTCCTGCTACTCGGGGTCGCTGGGCTGCTGGCAGGGACAGCAGCTGGGGCATGGCTCCTAGGTCAGTGTCTGGTCCGGGGTGCCACTGCGGGCAGAGCCCAGCCACCAAACTGGCGACCGAGTTCGAGGCGCCAGCAGCAGAGGTGGTGGTGATGGGAGCTCCTTGGTCTGTGAGCTGTGGCTTGGGATGGGGGGACATGGCTGGTGTGGGCTCTGCTGCTGGTTGCTGTGGTCCCAGCAGCAAGCTGCAGCTGTGCCCATTGAGAGACTCATCGCCTCTTCTGGTGGGCAGTGTGGGATCGTTCCCAGTATTGTGCATCCTTGGATGCTGCCCAGGCTGTGTGAGTCCACCTCCACACCCTTTTTTGTTTCCTGAAGTGAAACATCTGAAGAAGCCTCAGCCAGACCAGGGCTTCACCCTGCTGCAGGACCCAGATGCGATCCCAGCATGCAGTGATGAAGAGGAAGACCCCGTGGTCTATGGGGCTCCCAACAGAGGTTTACATCTTTTCTTGCTGCCACAGAGGATGGGGAGAGGGGAGCAGCGTGCAGGACAGTGCCTGCCAAGCCCAGCAAGAACGGAAAAGATGCTTTTTAATAATAAATATCTCCTGCTGATCCACTAGCTTCTTTCAGCTGTATTTTGCTTTTTTTTCCTTTGCTTTTAAGTCCTGCTGCATTCCCCAGTATTACGGCTTCGTTGCATGGAGTGATCTTACAGCAAAGGCAACTCTTGCAGGACTCCTTTGCATGTGATCACTCAGCAGAGCTGCCACTGAGAATATGCAAAGTACATGCATAGTTTCTAATTGCTTCAAATGGCTTTTTCTGGGTTTTTTGGGTTTTTTTTTTTTATTTGCTTTAGATGTGCATAACCATCCACTGTGCTGGCCCTGCACAAAACACTGCAAGGAAGGGAACTTGCAGGTTGCCTTTAATGGAATGGCTTTAGTATCTTTCAGAATAAACGTGGCAAACTCCTTGCTGGAAGCGCAGGTGGAAGGCCATCCTGGCTGGCTCCTGGCATGCCACGAGCGCTGGAGTCTCTCCCTGGGCACCCTGCTCTGCCGGCAGCTCGGGTATCTCAGGTAGGCATGGCAGAGGCAGCCGCTTCAACCCCTACTAGCCCTTTTCCAAGGGGGATGATCTTGGCAAAAGCAGGTGCTTGAAGGCTGGGAGGTTTTTCAGGGCAGCAGTGCCAGATCGCACAGCTCCCTGGTGAATGCAGGGCAGAAAGCGGGGCTTGGGCTGGCATGGGGCGACCTGCGAGAAGAGCTGCAGAAGACCCTTCCTGCCAAGGAGGTTCATTCCTCGCTGCCAGAGCGGCAGGACTGTGGACCATTGTTCCCATGGCAGGGTTACATTCCTGATCTCCTAGCAGGTCCCCAGCCCCTTCCTGGGACACTTACTGTTGCTTCTGCAGAATGACCCATCAGAAAGGAGTGAACTTGACAGACGTCAAGGTGAATGACACACAGGAGTTCATTCAGGTGAGACCCCACCAGGAAGGCAGCCTGGAAGACATGTGGCGGGTCAGGTAAGGGCAGCTCTGGGGGAAGCAGAGTTTGCTGGTGGGGTTGAAACAGAGGCCTTTTTTTCAGGCTTAAGAACGTAGAAAACTGTCCGGGTTTTGTGCAGGAAGCAGCCCCTTTGGGGACTGCTGCAGCTGCCCTGGAGGTCCCTAGTGCCCCAGGGATTTTGGTTCATGTGTATTCTAACCAGAGGCTTATTCCCGCGCAGGAGCAACTGTGAATCAGGTCGAATTGTGGCTCTGAAATGCTCAGGTGAGTGCCTCTCTCCTGTGTCTCCAAGATACCCGCTTGGATCTAGCAGTTTCTTTGCCCCTACTCCACCCGCTTCCCTCACCCTCCAGCGTGAGGGTCTGGCACCTGGAGCTTCACCTGACACGTGCTCCCCGGCTACCTTGCAGAGTGCGGCCTACGCCCTGGCGCTGCGCGGGTGGTCGGGGGGGTGGACGCACCCCCAGGGCGCTGGCCCTGGCAGGTCAGCGTGTACCACGGCTCCCAGCACCACTGTGGAGGCTCCGTGCTGGCACGCGAATGGATCGTCACGGCGGCTCACTGCGTGCACAGGTACCTCCGGGATCTCCCATGCCCAGCCTTAGAGGTGCTGTGTTCCTGCTCTTATCTCAGGCCTTGGCGCTTCTTGCCCTGCAGTAAGAGGCACGCTGTATTTCTGCTCAGTTACAGGCAGCTTCAAGCCTCTGCCTGGCTGGTTTTCGCAGGCATTATCACCCATGGCTCGATCAAGCAGGGGGCCGGCGTATCAGTAAAGAAAATAATTTACCACCCACTTTATAACGATAATAGCCTCGACTACGACATTGCTCTGATGAAACTGCAAGTTCCCCTGAATTTCTCAGGTAAGATGCTGTCGTGATGCTGTTGTGTCCTTCTCCCATCTGTGGAGTTGTTTAAGAGATGGCCAAAACCCAGCCTCTTCTGAACCTGCCATTTTAGAGCAGCTCTTTAGGGATATCCAGCCTGGCACCTGGGAGGCAGCATGCACAGCAGTGCTGTGTTTTGAACTACACCAGAGCTGTGAATTACTGGGAAAGGTGGCTGTGGGAGCTGAAGTCTCCCGAGTGCCTGGCCTGAGAGCCTTTCATTTCAACGTGCCAGGCTGGGTGGCTCTGCAGGCTGATAGCTCTGCAGCTCTTCCCTGGCTGCTCGTGCTCAGCACAGCACAAAGTTGACCCCACTGGCCTGGCACTTACCCCTGTCACCTTCTTACCAGATGCCATCCGTGCTGTGTGTCTGCCACCCTCCCACCAGGACCTCTTCCAGGGCACGCAGTGTTGGGTCTCTGGCTGGGGCTATACCAGACTAGACCAAGGTAAGCTCCCGTCTTGTCCCTGCCGCTCAGCACTGACTGGAGGCTTTCCCCTTGCTCCCCACCGGCCCTGTCCTGCCCCTTCCATGCCGCATGTGATCTTGCAAATGCCCCCTCCTGCCTTCATCCCACCCTTGCTCCAGCAGCGCTGCAACCCACATCCACAGCTCCTGTAGGTCTGGCCATATTTAATCCCATATAGTAATCCCCTCTTTCCCCTCTTCTGATTTCTCCAGCTAGTGCCCTGCTCTTCCCCTCTTAGAATCATAGAATCATTAAGGTTGGAAAAGACCTCTAAGATCATCAAGTCAAGTCCAACCATCAACCCAACACCACCATGCCCACTAAACCATGTCCCTAAGCGCCTCATCTGCATGTCTTTTAAATACCTCCAGGGATGGAAGCAGGATGGCCTGCTCCCTGCAGGCCGTGTTTCCCTCTTGGCTTCTCTTTCTCCCTCCCCAGGACAAGTTACCGAGACACTGAAGGAAGCACTCGTTCCCTTAATCGGTAGCAAGAGGTGCAATAGTTCGTGCATGTATGCAGGCGAGCTGACTGCCAGGATGCTGTGTGCTGGCTACCTGCATGGGAAAATAGATGCATGCCAGGTAACAGGAGGGAGCAAGTGGTGCATGCTGGGTGTGCATAGCAGGCGTGGGAAGGACTGATAGGTTGTATCTCCCTGTTGTGCTCCAGCAAATTCTGGGTTTTGTGGCAATAGCTTGCAGTAAACAGTCTGTGTAGGGCAATGCTGGGCCCATTACATCACTGCGTGGAGCCCACAGTGCCCCGGTGCATCAATGTCGGGCTGAGATTTAGTTATCTTTATAGAAGGAACACGGAAACCTTGCAGGGAGGCACACACTACTTATTGTACCCGCCTTTCAGCTTCTTGTATGGCCGATGGAACAAAGCCACGTGGAAGAAGCCAGCCTGATCTGCATCCCAGCTGCCAGCGGGGCAGAGCTGCTTCCTTAGTCCTTGCTCTATCTTGCAGGGTGACAGTGGGGGCCCCCTGGTTTGCCAGGATGAATTCGCATGGCGCTTAATAGGCATTGTGAGCTGGGGCCAGGGCTGTGCTGAACCCAACCACCCTGGGGTTTATACCAATGTGGCTCAGCTTCTGCCATGGATTTACCACATCACTGAGGTAAGCTGGAGCAAGCAAAGGTGTATGTTTAGCCTGACCTACAGCCACGCATATTGCATAGACAAACCCCAATGCTAACATCCTATTTTAACTCTTTTCTTCACTACCCTATGCTTACTCTTGATGCATGAACCTCTGGGACAACCTCTTTTATGGTACTGATTCCTTTTTTTGTTTTCTTTTTTTTTTTTTTTTGGACTAGATCTACTAGAAATAAGGCAAGGAGAGACTTCACAGAGCAACGCTTTGCCCTTTCCACATAGTAAGTGGAGAACGGTCCAGGACTTATTCATACTGTGTTACTATAACCCTAATAAAATCCCCAGACAACATGAGAAAACATGCTCAGTATAAATAGTTTATTAAAGAAAATAGCAAATTATATTTCTGTGAACAATCCACATGGGAGAAGTGGTGTTTTTCAAAATACGCTGTTTTTTGGATTGCTATGTATAAAGGGGCAGGGGATCCCATGAGATGCAAGTGTTATGGGAACACTCTCAGCCTTCAGATAAATGAAGTGGAGGGGAAGAAAAGAAAAATCTAGAGTTTTAAGTGGCAGTGAGATTTTGCTTCAGTATCTCCCTTCCTTGCTGCATTCCCATGTGCTGGACTCAGTCTAACTGCCAATTTGACTGCATTTGCCCCCTCCCTATGCCAGTTAAAGCCAGAAACAGAAGGGTCTCCTCACTACCTGCCATGGCTGTGCTCAGCTGACCCAGCAGGCAGAATGGCCATTCAGTTCTGCAATAACTTAGGTGCAACATGAAAGCCAGCTGTGATTCAGGTCCTGCACAAATGCTTGGAAATGTGAACAAAAGTCAGACAAAAATGCAAATTAAAAGAATACAACAGCAGATAACAGATTAAAACATTAAGCTCTGAGATCAAAACTTCTGTAAGCAGGTTGTAACCTCTACATGGTAGGAAATACTTTGTTGCACATGTGCAGCAACTGGCATATCCTGGCCTCTGGGCTATGTTTTAATGAATGCTCTTGGTGAGTTTTTCAATTAAAAGAAATGTACGTTTCTCAAAGTCTCAAACATAGCCTTTTGTAACTTAAAAGATAATGCTATGAGTGCACACTTCATTCCCTTTTTATATTCATTTACATTTCTCTCAGTATTCTTAAAGAACAGAAAATTTACTACAAGAAAGACAACAGATGCCAGACCTACCTAGTTCACGCGCACAAAAAGGTAAAGGAAGGAGCTGAACTGGCTTCTACAGTTAGTAAAGTGAGACTGAAAAATTCCAGGTCAGTTTTAAGATCTTTCCAATGAGAAATAAAGCCATGAGGGCATTTTGCCACTTGCGCAAAACCCTGTGACTTGATAAACAGTTCATTCAGAACAGGATCTCCTCTCTGCCCACCCCCCAAATTTTCACTCTCTTGATGTCTGCTATTCAGGGAAACCTGAGGTGGGAAAGAGCAAAGTTTGGCACTTCAGTATTCTTAGAAGGATATCAAAAGCTATCAAAGTCTATGGATTTCATATGTAACTTGCAGGGACAGAAGAGGTAAGACACAAAGGGGCTTCATACCCCCTGATGTAAAACTGCATAGATAAGATTCACTACTGAGAAACAAAAATCCCTCTACAAGACCCTTAAGCAAGCAAGTTTGAGTGGATGTTATACAGCACCTTACATGAGAAGCCCATCTGACAGCAGTGCCTGTTCTCACAAAGAGATGTTGGATACAAGATTTGATTTATTTCCCTATTCTGGGCTTAACAGGGAAATGAAATCCTAGAGAATGGAAATTAGCAAACATCACAAAAAGCATTTCTTCACCAGGACTGTACACCCACCAGCTCATGAAGGAAAACTTGGATCTGGGCAGAACACCTCTGGGAAGCATGGCAGGAGACTGAATTTTCAAGCCCAAACTCCGTCTGCCTGGCAGATGGAGCATAAACAGTTAGTGCCCATGTGTTACCCACCTTTGATTTTCTGGTCCCAGACTCACAGAGCCATCCTCTTTGCCCTTACAAACATTGAGCCAGGAAATGTTTCTTCTGCCTCAGTCAAGCCTCCAGGAAGCACTTACCTAATGCTAAGTTTTTCTTATACCAGTACAAGTAAGAAGGGTCAAATCCAAACAATATTTGAAAGACTCAGTTTCTTCTTGCTTTATCAGAAGATGCAACATGTAGGAGTAAACACAGAGTTACTTAATTTTGGCCAGCGCTGCTGCTCTCCTTTCTGTGTTCTGGAACAAGGCTCGGATCAGACTCTTCACTTCAGCTGCAGAGAATTCAGCTGCAAGAGGCCCCTTCCCATCCGCCCACCTACGTGGGAAAGAAAGATCTTTATTTAACCAAACCCCACAGAAATGTCATGTTAAAACAAGCCTTCTGAGTGCTCGTTACAGTAGTAAGTCTGAAGGCAAAACAAATCCAGTTAGCAGCCTATTAGCTGTACGCAACTTGAGTCCAGAGTTGTTTAGCTAGGTATATAAAGCAACAGCTTGTGAGGTGATTTTTGCACCCATTACTCACTACTTTTTCCTTCTCCAAAATAAGCCTAAAGCCTGTCTGCAAAATTCCCATTCACCTCCCAAACAACAGGAAAAAAAAAAAAAAGTGGTTTATGCCCAGGTGGAAGTAGCGTTGGGAACCTTTGGTGTCTAACACTGCTCCAATAGCAGCAATGAGCAGGGTACAGAAAAGGAACTGCCTTCCCTATGTGCCTTTTCCATGTCTGGTACCTTTTCAGTTTAGCCTGCTGAGGACAGTCTGTTTTCTTGCCATTCAGACGTATGCGTGAGGCAGCTGTGAACAGGGAAATGTCTAGCTTCTGACAACTCGTGCCAGCTAAAATGATAGAATTATGCAAATCCTCATGTATAATTCAGCTGAACCCTCCTTACAAGTTAAAAGAAGCAAGAAACAGCATCTAAAAAGCAGAGGCCGATCATGTGGAACGATTGCAGCAGCAAGGCACAGCTAACATCAAAAGCAGTAGGCAAAATGCCAGGCTGCTTACCGTGAAATACTTCTGAACTTAGAGAAGCCAAGGGGGATGCACAATCGCTCTGTGGCTGGCTCTCCCATGGCACTTGTTTTTTTTACCACTGCCTTTTCCTTTGCAGGACGCAGCTGAATATATGAACAAGCCTGAAATGGACTATAAACACACAACCCTAGGAGCAGTTATCTGATCCTTATTAACGGTGATTGCCTTTCATCTGAACAGAGTCCCCCGAGTGCAGTGCTCTGCTGATGTCAAAGCACTTCCCAGCTCCCTGTTGTTGGGGTGAAGAACTAACTGAAAAGGAAGAAAGGAAGACACCTACTGATCTACTATTTCTTGGAGGTTGGCTTGCAAGATGATCATCAGCTCTTTGAATGTCATCCATTTCTGCACGTAGACTGGAACTTCCTCTTGGTATTTCTTATTTTCGTCTTCTTCAGGTAGTGGGGTGAAAACTTGGGGTCCTTCTTCCACCATGGTCCTACAGAGGGAGTACAACCTATCTGCATCTTCTGCAGAGATATCCTAGAATTGAACAAATGTTAACAGGGGAGCAGTTAGATATATTTTGGAGTGCCAAGCAGTAAGTGAAATGAAAAAAAAAGTGGCTGTGTGTGTGAAGATGAAAGCAGTGGTTTAGATCATGTTTAACATTCTCAAGCTAATATAACTTATTTCATGAATAGCTATTTCACCAAGTTCTCAGCGATTGCCTCAGAACAATGGTTGCGCTTCTAAACAGCGTATCTTAGTGCAATAGCAAGCATTTCACTGTGAAACAGAGGTGTGTTGATGAAGTTTACAAGTTATGATGAACAGTTTACAAGGAAATTGCTCAGGCATTGCCAGCCCATTGATGAAAGCCGAGCTTTTTGGGAGGCACAGCCTGAGCAAGTGTCCTGTAAACTAGCTATTATGGGAAAAGAGGACTTACTGGTCTAATGCACAGTGGGAAGGCTCTTTGGATGTAGATTACAACAAGGACAGATGCACTAATGTATTTCTATTATTTGCTGTGAAAATATATTTTAACTAAGAAATGTAATAGGATAGTTGTACTTGACCCAAGGTAACCTGACAATCACTTAAACACAGTACTGGGAGTCAAATGGAGATTTAAACAGGTAAGAATTTCAGTTTGAAATGCCACAGGTATTTTGGCATCTGGTGCCTAGATAGGATGTAGAGGTTCATTAGAGATGCACAGATTGAAAACATATCAGAACACGTGGAGTTTGAAACAACAGTTAACTCCTGTGCCCTGAACAAAGAAAAAGAGATCAATTCATAGAAATGTTTATAGTAGGAGTGACACACCTAAATCCAAATTAAGATGAAATCACAGCCACTTCCCGGACTCTCCCCTTGACTACAGAGTCATGGAATCGCTCTAAGAGTATATATGGTCTCAACTGGATGTGAGTTATTGGTACCTTGAATATTTCTCATAGACAGGACTACAAAAAGACAACTATTCCCCTGAAACCTGATCTTGGAAAGAACTTCCAGAGGTCACAAATGCTAGCTGTTCACACCACCCTATGCCTGGCATGTCCATCTCATGCAGTTACCTCTAGGGCAGCAATCCTAGTTACAATCTCTGTGAGAGCCGTGTTCAGTAAAGTCCCCATAGCCTTGCAGTATACGTTCACTGGAAGGACATCTTGCCAGACTTTTCCCAGTCTTTTCAACTGATGCAATACCTGGAAGATAACAGCTATGTGTTATCTACATGTTATCAAAAAGAATATTAAGAGAGGCACCAAATGATAAGGTGACTACATATGGTCAGAAACCAGTTTGAAAGAAGCAAACGGCAATGAAGGATCCTGCTATCGCATGGAGCAGACGTTCCTGGGAAAAAATGCAACATTTTCAGTTTGCATTAAGGCTCATCAAAAGTGTGACAGATCTTTCCTTGAAAAATGAAAAACATTATAAAGGTACGATAAACAAAAGTTGAAGATTAAGAAGCTTTTCATTTCAACTTGGAGCAAGAGGAACTGAACTCAGCATGGTTCAATTTTACAAGACAACGCAACACAGGAAAAAAAAAACCATGCCAGAAAATTGTTTTGAAAAGTTCCACTCTGCTGAAACACTGCACAGTTGTCTGGACTGAGATTACCTTCCCAAGGACAACATCTACAGACAATGGGATATTTGGCTTTGATTGCCTTGCTTACCTGCCTTATTGCTTTGTTTGCTGCACAGTAATTTTCCTCATCATCCATATTAGAAAAATTCCTGGCACTTGACAGCCTCTCCAGGATTTCTCCTTTCTGCACTCGCATCTGGGCCAGAAAACACTCCATCCCTTTAGGAGCAAAAACAAGCAAAGAGAAGCAATTAAGCAATTACTAAATTTGCCAATTTAGAGACTGTAAGTGCTGAATAATGAACTTGCTATAATGTTTTATTTTTAGAGGAATTTCCAGTCTCTAAACAGTCTCGTAGAGCAAATTGAACCAGGCCCAGTAACATATTCGGTAAGCTCTTGCGCAGCTTGCATTGCTACACCACTTTTGAAAAAGAGCTGAGTAGCAGAATTAACTATGGATGACAGGCTCCTATTAGGCTCGTACAAACTTATCTCAGAATTTGTTTTCATAGAATAAGCTAAAGAAAACATCAAAGGACTGAGCAGCAGATCCCAAAATATCCGAGTGCCACAACATCTGGCTGGATAATGAACTGTTCTTGGAACCATGTGCTGGACAAGAAGAGTTGGGTTTCAAAGAGTCAAGCCCTAAATAGCCATCTTGCTTAGAGTCATAACGCTCTGTC